CGCGCTTGTTGGATGTGAGATGATTATAGCCAACTCGGCGCTACGCGCCTCGTTGGCTATCTATCATCTCATATCCAACGCGCGCTGGTGGAATAATTGTTAATTGTTCAATCTGGGCCGGAGAGACAATGATCGAGTGGTTGTCGCCCCTGGACTAAGGGTCCGGATTTGAGCTTTTGGTGATGTCATTGTGATGCACTCTTGGGAACAGAGCTTTTCTCAGAATGCTAAAGAAATTGAAATAAGCTTTGGTATAGGCCATTACAATAATTTATTACACGACTCGGGCAGTCAGAGGGCCAATAACTAAAATCAACCAATCAAAATGCTCTATTGCCGGTCAATATTCTCTCAGTATTGGACCGGGCACTGTCCCGAATGGTCCCGAATGATACTGCACTTGTGTCCCTTTGAACTTCAGTCATATAATAATACTCTTATTAACCAAGCTTGCTCAGGACCGTACTGGAAGAATATCGGCCCTCGGTCTTTTTTGTACGGACCGAGCGCAGCGAAGTCTGTACTGTCAAGACCTCGGGCCGATATTCTCCCAGTATGGCCCTCGCGCTTGGTTAATAAGATATATTTATTACCGAGTGGGAGGTCTGTATGGGAGAATCTTAACCAAGGTCGCCAGTACAGACCGAATGCAGTAAGGTCTGTACCAGCAACCGAGGTCAAGATTCTCCCATACAGACCGACCTAGCTCGATTAATAAGATGTTTTTTGTATGGCTGTATCTTATATGCCAATTTTTTATATTCTTTGTACCTTTTTTTTCCAGACCAGTCTAGATGCCGTTCTAGATGGCAAAAACTAGACTGCTTTCAATATTGATTTCACCCAATCAAATTTGTGAACTCAGTAGTTCCCAGTCCTTTTGAGACACAGCCATATAATATCTCCCTTGTATCAAACAACCATGTCATCAGAATATAGGAATATATTACAACAAACAGAACCCTTGATTATCGAACAAATTCTCCCTTACATTATCATGGAAAATGTAAAGAGAACAGTATAGAGAATATGCATACTGTTGTTATGGGTTGTTTAATGGTTGCCCTTCCTTTTCTTTTTTTTATTTTTGTTAATCCTAGGCCTATCATGTTAGTGTTTGGCTATCCTAGCAAATTATTGTTTTTTAAATATTGTTATACATCAGTTTTAAATGTCAATCCAAATGTGATACAGCCTTTAGGCTACATTCATGTAATTAAATTCAGAAAGGAAATTTGATGAAAACATGGAATTGGAAAAAAAATACGAAGTAGGATTCCATTTCAAGGTAGCATGCTTTGTGTGTGCCACCCCGAGCCTCAGGAATTGTTGAAGTTAGGCATCATTAAAAGGAAATACAATGTAATGTTCACTTTCTGTAAGTTAGGCATCGTTGAAAGGAAATACAATGTAATGTTCACTTTCTGTAAGTTAGGCATCATTACAAGGAAATACAATGTAATGTTCACTTTCTGTAAGTCAGTGGATATTGTTCAATGTTGTTTTGCAGATAATGCCAGTTTTAATGAAAAACCCCATGTAGAAGCAAAGAAGAGCTTTTCTGCTAGATATGTTGGGAGCATAGATGTTCCAAAACCAACAGGTTAGATAATGGCAATTCCTTGTTTGAGTTTTACTTGGGACTGATCTCAATATGGAGGTATTATTACTGATAAAATTGGCTGTGGAGCTAATTAAGTTTGTAGAGGGTTAGATTTGTTTCATTTAAGTTCAGGAATTTGGATGTTAACATAACTGGAATGGCTTTGTTTGTTTAATAGTGTTTTTTGAAACACTTTAATTTGTTCATTTTTCAGGGGTGGAAGTTTTGAACAAAGCAATAAGTAAAGTAACAAATAAAGCTGGCAGTGCTAGTGGATGGAAAACCATTCTCATTGAAATCAGTGTATCGAACATCAGGATAACAGATTGCACTGTGAGTTACTTTCTATCGCTTCCCAGCTTCATGATAACCAGAAAAATTCAAGATGGGTGAATGTGATAGTGCATGCTGTAATAAACCTGTCAGTAATGATTTTGGGCCTCTGGGTTTTCAATAACACTTAGCCAGAAAATTGTTACCCAAGCAAGCTCCTAAGGATATGGGAGAAATCCCACATTTTGATTGGACTTGTCTGAACAGCGAATCACACTTTACTTTGCAAATATCACTATAATTGTTCCTACTTAGTGACAGTTCTCAAATTTTTTCTTTGCCAGACCCAAGAACTAATTTCTGAAGACCGAGTTAGATTCATGTCTTTCTTTGGTGTTGGAAAAGATGAAAGGTAAATGAATTACTAGATGCATTTAAAGTCACCATTTTGATCACATTGCACTCATGATGGTACTGGCCTTGATATAGAGGGTGGCAAAGCAAAGGGTTTATAAGTGATGCATGATTCAGCCCAAAGATAATGTGTGATGTGTGAGTGTTACAGAAAGGCAACAAAAGTTGAGAGGTGTAATTTTCCTTCTAAAATTTGTTGTATGTGAAATAATGCAAGCAAATTGAATTTGTTAAAGAATCCACACACTTTTCACAAAGAGTAGGGAAAGTGGCTCCAAATGTTGTGGTCTGGCCTTGTCTTTGTTTTTACAGGCCCCATCTAAATCAGCTTTGAGGTGAAGAAGGCTAGCCTGTCTAAATATTACTTATACATACATACCTACATACATTCCTTCCTGTATTCTTGTATAACATCAATTTCATCTTTGCTGATAGTCTGACTGCAAATTGTTGTTATAAAATCTGAAATGTATTTTGATTCCTAAACAAATCCACACCAACCATGAAATAAATGTGGAGGTCAATTTGTCACTTATCATCTTATCTACAGGTCTAAAGATGATTATTTTATATATATCTTATTAACTGAGCACGAGGGCTGTACTGGGAGAATATCGGCCCGAGGTCTTGACAGTACGGACCAAGCGCACTGTGGTCCGTACAAAAAAGACCAAGGGCCGATATTCTTCCAGTACAGTCCCGAGCAAGCTTGGTTAATAAGAGATTTATTATATGACTGAAGTTCAAAGGGACACAAGTGCTGTATCATTGGGGACCATTTGGGACAGTGCCCGGTCCAATACTGAGAGAATATTGACCGGCAATTGAGCATTTTGATTGGTTGATTTAGTTATTGGACCTCTGACTGCCCCAAGTCGTGTAATAAAGAAACTTGTCCCCTTAATTCATTGAAATCTAGCCTCAGAATTAAGCAACTTACAAGACAAATCTTCCATCCCCTTTCCTTTGCCTATCAATTGCAAAAAATTTTGGATTTATAGGTACGGTATAACTTCCATGAGTGACAAAGACAGAATTTCTCCTTACAAAATCAATACAATGTCAAGCAAACTAGTGATGAGAATAAAGAAAAATNTGTGTGAGTGTTACAGAAAGGCAACAAAAGTTGAGAGGTGTAATTTTCCTTCTAAAATTTGTTGTATGTGAAATAATGCAAGCAAATTGAATTTGTTAAAGAATCCACACACTTTTCACAAAGAGTAGGGAAAGTGGCTCCAAATGTTGTGGTCTGGCCTTGTCTTTGTTTTTACAGGCCCCATCTAAATCAGCTTTGAGGTGAAGAAGGCTAGCCTGTCTAAATATTACTTATACATACATACCTACATACATTCCTTCCTGTATTCTTGTATAACATCAATTTCATCTTTGCTGATAGTCTGACTGCAAATTGTTGTTATAAAATCTGAAATGTATTTTGATTCCTAAACAAATCCACACCAACCATGAAATAAATGTGGAGGTCAATTTGTCACTTATCATCTTATCTACAGGTCTAAAGATGATTATTTTATATATATCTTATTAACTGAGCACGAGGGCTGTACTGGGAGAATATCGGCCCGAGGTCTTGACAGTACGGACCAAGCGCACTGTGGTCCGTACAAAAAAGACCAAGGGCCGATATTCTTCCAGTACAGTCCCGAGCAAGCTTGGTTAATAAGAGATTTATTATACGACTGAAGTTCAAAGGGACACAAGTGTGGTATCATTGGGGACCATTTGGGACAGTGTCTGGTCCAATACTGAGAGAATATTGACCGGCAATAGAGCATTTTGATTGGCTGATTTTAGTTATTGGCCCTCTGACTGCCCAAGTCGTGTAATAAATAATTGTATTGTTTGCTATCAGATTTCCTTCATGGGAAACAAAGAACACACGTAATTTTCCTGACTTATAATGTGTGACTTTGTGGCTTACTTGGCAGTCTTGCCCAACTGGCATCTGGCACTGTTTCAGTCTTTATTGAAGACTAGATTTTTTCAGAAGTCTTATTTTATCATGGCTCAATTTGCAGTTAATAGATCCATGACATATCTTATTTTTATCCCAAAATAGACTCTGTGGTTACATTGTGAGCACTGCCCCAGATGTATTTGTGTGCCATGTGTTCCAGTGCTCACCCAATGCTGCTCCTCTTACAAAAGCATTGGCTGAAGCATGTGAGGTAAGATTAGTAAATTCTGTTGTCTCATTTCCCTTAAGAAATAAAGAAATTGTCCTCAGGAGCTGTACTCTGATTTCCTCCTGCACTTTACTGCCCAGCGTGTTATGGAACAAACTTTTTTGATTATACATTATACATTCTTTCAATTCTTTTTTTTTTTTTTATCTTTTTGGTTATAATTTTCAGTGTTTTTTTTTTCCCTTGTCTTTTTCCTTCATTTTCTGTTTGTTTTTTGTTTCTAGTAACTTGTCAGTCAATTATCCAGTCAATCAGTCTTTCTGTTTGTCTAGCTGTTTGTCTCTTTGTCTGAAAAAATTAATTTTTTGCAACAATTGCAGCTGCGTTTCCAAAAATGTGTTGATGCTCATCCAAATATTATACAGAAAAAAGCAGCAGCTGAGCAGGAGAAGGTGCGAGAAAAATCTGACAAAGAAAAAGATAAGGTACAAGAAGGCTGTATGTTAGTCAAAAATACAGTTTATAATTATAATATAATCAATTACATTTGTATTTAACAGTTATTTGCCAAAGGTGAGGTGAATATCGTCGAATAATCCCCGAGACGAAGTCGAGGGGATTATTCGACAATATTCACCAAACCTGAGGTGAATAATTGTTTTAGTATAATTTCAGAGCTGAACAACAGAGAAATTTCTAAAATCATAACATTTTAGTAACATTTATAAACATTTTAGTTTAACACTTTATATAAACCACGCGGAACGGTTTATATAGCGTCATATAAGGAACCGCTCGACCAATCAGATTGCTGGAAACTCTTTGTTCAGCTCTGAAATTATACTAAATAAAATTACAAAGTAGAAAGAAGAATTTCAAAGCAGTCTGTGATTTTCTGATCCTTTTCCTGTGATATTTGAAACTCACACAAAAGGAGGAATCAAAGTAGATGTTAGTAATCTTAACTAGAATGTTTTTATTGTTTGCTCACATGTTTTATCATGTATGTGTTTGTTTGCTCATGTGCTTTGTGTCTGCATACATTGTTTCCTTCAGTTTGCTTCACTTTCTATCCAATTTAATTAATTTTGTAACAGGCTGGTTTCATGACAAGTGTTCAGGGTTTGCTTGGAAAACTTGGGACAAAGAAAGGGGGAGGGAAAAAGGTCAGTACAGCAGAGCAAATGCATTGACAACTCATGTTCGTACCTTAAACACCCCCACAAGCTCTCCACAAATAAAAACAAACAAACAAAAAAGTTTTCTTTGCATTCATTTAGGGCAGGAAGCATTTCAGTTCAAATTATACTCTAGAGACTTGTGTTAGTTTCCTCTCTGAATATCAGGGAGTTTCCAAACAAAGAAATTCATACTTTATTACCTTTTATCATTCATCGATTCTTCATCATTCGTTTGTAAGATGATTCAGAAGAAAAATTAAATGATATGCAATTTTGGCTGTTAGGGCCTGTCTGCACTAGTAAATAAGTTGTTTATTTGGATAAATTTTCTGTCATCATCAACACTTTACAAATGCAAATGGTTTGTCATGACTTGACAAATTTTGGCCGAAGTGGACAAAATGTTCAAATCCACCGCTTACAAAATTTGTCCCAGGTGAAAACTGGACAAACTGGACTAAATAAACAATGCTTTCAGTGATAAACTTGTCAATCAATCATTTTAAATTAAATCTACCACCAGCATGGAAATGAACTGAGTTCATATTGCAAGGTAGGCAATAATGTTCTTTTGTCTCAAAACTTGGGGATTTTGAAACTTGAAAAAGATGAACTATGCAAATTGGAGTTTGAATCCTTTGATGACTAGACCAGCTGGTCTTATGAGCAGATCAGGTGCTGATGGAATCTGGCGGCTTTTAAGGCTAGGTTTACACTAGAGGAGAGTTTTCCGGATTCACAAATGTTTCCGGATTCATCAATTTTGGAGTATTCGGATTTGTAGGATGTTCGGATTCCTGACCGTTTACACACGACGACAACTCCGGGTTTTTTTTTTTCTGATTTTCTCTCAAGTAGGGACGTAAGATCTTCACAAAGTTCCATAAAGGTAGGGTGGGACATTCTAAAATTTTCTCTCCACTCGCTAGCTACCGTGACATTTCCCATCATATTGTCCCACCAGGCACTTGTTTGACCTGGCCTACCCCAAAACCGTTTCGGTCTTCGATCCTGCCATCTACGTCGTTGGCGATTAAGTGTGGCTGACGTTAAACTTCCTTGCAATAATAATTTGCGTTTCCTCAGAAATACTGAGGTACACATGATAAAATTTATTGCCTGAACCTGCAACAAGATTAGGCAACCGGAGACCGCCAGCAATGTTAGCACCAGATCCTCCATTTTGGTTTCACCGCAAACTCAAAAGATTGCAGGYGGAAATAATATCCGGATTCGAGAAAAAAAGCGGTTACACGACAAAACTTTCCCGATTCAAAAGTTATCGGATTCAAAGTTCCCACTTTAAATTCCGGATTCAAAATCTCCACAGACACGACCAAACTGGGGAGTTTTTATTTTGGATTCGTCCACTTTCGTGTAAACGGCAACATCAATCCAGTACTAAAACATTTCGGATTCATCATGAATCCGGAACAATTTCCTCTAGTGTAAACCTTGTCTAAATTTTGAGCGCAGATGCAGAAGAAGAGACAGAACTTTGCAGTGACAAAATTTGTCATTTTGATTTTTTGGAGACATTTCTAGTTTTGTCCACTAGTGCAGAAAGGCCTTTAGTCAGATTTTGATACATGTAAGTACCCACTCTCCCCCCACACAGTTTGAAAGCTATGACCAATGATCTCTCTTTGGCTATGGCTAAAAAAGTCTCTTGTCCCCTTGCGGGGCCCAATAAGAGTGTACAGTATGTATGAGTATTGCCATTTCTGTTTTCCATCATACTTGTCTGATATTTGGCTGTGTTCATGCTAGTTATAGTAAGAAGACCATGTGGAATGAGTTATTTTCACTAAATGTATGCAACATTTTTTGTTTTGCTTCTTGTTTGTGTGAGTCAACTTAAATTTTAATTTTAAAACTTTAACTACCTAAAATTAATGTTCTGTTGCTGATGTGAGGAAATTTCTCTTGTCTATGTAACAGGAGGAAAGTAGCACAACAGATAGCAAACAATCTTCAGTTCCTGTGATAACATGCAAACCAACTCACACTTTCATGGTGAAGTACTATGGTGCACTGCCAGTGGCTGTTGGTACAGGGATAGAGACTGTGGAGGAGGCAGCAAAGGTGATTACTAATGATAGCAGTTGACATTTAACAAATGGTAAACACCACAGCGTACACTATTGAGTTATGGATGCACGCAGGAGGTTGCTAAGCACGAAAGAAGTGTAAGAGTCGCTCGAGGCGATAGCCGAGAGCAACTCTAGCTTCTTGAGTGCTTAGCAAACCTCCCAAGTGCATCCAATAACTCAATAGTGTACGCTGTGGTGTTTACCATTTGTTTTATAACATGACATTGATACATTGTAGCTAAGAGTTCCCTTTTATTTAACAAATCTTACGTGACCAGAAAAAACAATCCGCGTACACCCATGGGCAAATGGGGGATGCTAAATTGACCAATCAGAGCGTGCGCTTTACTTTGGTTATGTTCTAATGTTATTTGCAGTAGCAAACTTAAGATAATATTGTTAAACAGTCCCTGAGACAAAGTTCTAATTCTTATTTTTCAGCATTTGGCTGGAGGAACATTACTGATTTGCCAACTTGATGTTGCCCTCAATGGAGTAACACTTTATGACAGTCAGAGAAGTTCTCTTTCAAAGAGAAATTTAGATGCTGATACAATATCATACTGCGGTCTTACAAGGTAATATAAACCAACTCTTTCATGGGCATCTGTATGTAGCAGAATTGGTTACCACTACAAGCTTCGATGTCATGAATTACAAATTAAATCAGCAATGCCCATTTTGAGTTTTTTAGTCTCGATGAAGGAATCTGTACTGAACAGCCTCTTGACAAATCAGACACAAAGCTAAATGCAATGGCCACTTGGCCTTTCATGTTTTACTGGGCATATCCCTTTTATTCTTAAGATCACCATCATGATGTTAATTCTCTATACTGTCTGCCATACACTTCTTCATTGACTTTTGCAATTCTGTAGGTTTTGATTGAGGATATTGTTTATAACTCTTCTTTTCTTTTCTTTTTTTTTTTTTTTAACAGTAATAGAAGCCATTTTGGACTCATCCAAAGCATGGGAGGAGGAAAATACATTTGCCACGTCTTTGCAGAGTACAAGGTGAATAACTAATAAAAGTTCATTTTTTATTTCCTTTCTACATTTCACATCTTTTGGGTAACTGAACATGGTATTAAACACAATTAAAACAATTCTGGATTAATTTCATACTGAACAAACAAAAAAAAACAAAAAAACAAAAAACTACTTTTAGTCATGTTTGTGGTGAACCATTCCTTTTGTTTGGGTTATATACGTTTAAGGCCTGATTAATGCCACTCTTTTAACCCTCCAAGCCCTAACATCAGTATCCATATTCTCCATACTGTTCTCTATACATTTCCTATAGTAGTGACCAGGAGAATTTGTTCAACAATCAAGAGCTTCTTCAGTTGATAATCATTTCCTGTGTTCTTGAGACCTTTATGTTTGATGTTGTGAGGAGAAATTGGATGCTAGTCACTCTCACGGGAAACAAAGGGGTGAATTTAAGTCTTTGTTCCCCCCAAAAATTGGTGGGTAAGGTAAAGCCTGTTTACGAGCCAAGTGGCCCATTGGACCAGCACTCAAATCCAGTTTCAGTAGCATGAAGCGACTAGGAGTATTTCTATTCCTCCCTAACAATTTCTACTCCTGGGTGAAGAGAGGCACTGTGAGACTAAAGTGTCTTACCCAAGAACATAACACAATGTCCCCAGCCTGTGCTTGAACCCGAACCACTCAATCCAGAGTCAAGTGCACTAACCATGAGGCCACAGTACCTCCCACTAAACATTTGTGGGTGATCTAGCCTAAATACCTAGTTACTCTTTGAAAGTATTTTTTTCTTCTCTGCTGTTAAATTTTTCATACTTGCCTTAGAACTGTAATGCATTAAACAATTAAGCTTATCACTGAAGTTCAAAGTTAAGAGTTCTTTGATTGCAACATTTTTTGTTTTCAATGTTTCAGACTAAAGCTGGGCCAATTGTTGCAGCCATTCATGAAACATTGTGAATACCAGAGAAAATTCTACAGTACAGTCCCATTAAATAATACAGTAAACCCAGTAGCATTTTGATTAATACCTTAAAGTAATGTTAGTTACTGTAATTCATTTTCATGTATTGCGGAGGAGAGAAGTTATTCTTGGTTGAGCAAAATTTATGTGAACATAATTCATTAATTCAATTGAGTTGTGATTATTACCATCTGAATGGTAGATCAAATCACTTTGATTTTCTGTAAAGCAATGTCTTTTGTTTTATGTGCTCTCTAAGCAAAGGCATCAAAAGTTGTTGGTGTCCTGTTTCAATTGACTTAAGTATGAAAAACATGTTCAAGAAGCAAATGAAATTTGCAATTGAAGAGGAGATTTTACTTTCTGGTCATTGTGGGTAATGAATTTTCAAGGAAAGAAATGAATGGTGTGGAAAAAGGAACAAAGGTAAATGATCTATCAAGATGTGAATGAGCTACCTTCCCTTTGAAATGGAAAGCAATGTTTGTCATGTTCTCTGCTTTCAATGTTAGCAATTTAAGGACTTGTTTTTTATACAAATGTTTTTATTATTTTTGAAATAGAATATTATTTTTGTATACTTTTACTGCAGTTATAGGATGAATGATGGATTGAATGAGTGAGGGAAGGAAGGGATGTACAAATAAATAATTGAATGACTGAATGATTGAATAAATATAACGAATGATTGAGGGAAGTGATTGATTGGGAACAAGTGAAGTTCAGAGACAAGTGGTGAAATTTTGAAGAAATTTTAATTATTTATTAGGTAAATAAATGAGTAAACATCGAAGAGAGAAGAAAAGTAAATGAAAGGATTTTGTCTACACTTTGATGATTATGACAAGGTTTTGGTTTCCTTTACCCTTATACATTATTGGCCATCAATTTGATTGACAGCTGAACTGAACAACATATCACATCAAAACTGAATGTTAAAAATCAGAGATGTTGGTTGTTAATGAATTGGAGAGATAGAAGCTTATTAATTTTGAACAGATTAAGTTGGATAGGTGTGTAATTAGTAGTAAAGGCTAGTGAAAAGAATGAACTCTTCAGGCTTCTAGTTCAAGGGTCAAGAAATGTATTTAGCCTTTGTAGATAATTGACATAGTTTGCTAGGAATGTTTGCTGTTTGAATACAGTAATTATCATGATAGAGGAATTTGGTGACAATGTAATCTTAAGTTTTGCAGTTTAAAAGCAGTAAATATAATGCTTTGGAAATTTGAAATAAGAGTTGAAAATATGATGCAAAGTCTTAGGCTGGCCTTTAAACTATTGTTGTAGTTGAATAATTGCCTAGGTCAGGTAGTGTTTGGTGAAAATTATTATTAAAAATTTTTGTGTAGTATTACAGTTTTGTAGCATTTTGATGACCATGAGTTTTTACTGTGATTTATTTGATGAAGAGAGCAGGCCTCAGCAAAGTTATCACTTGCATTTGTTTTCAAAGTCACTTTTTGCAGCTGCTTTTATATGTTTCTGTTAGAAATTCAAACCTGGGATTGCTCAAACTACCCTTGAAATAGTTGCAAAATTTCAAACATTTGAACAGCAGTGATTAGATACTACAAATAAATATTATTTCCAAAACTTAAGAATGGTTATGATGTATTAAGAATATTTCAAGAACAAAGAAGCTAAGGATAACAAACCAGAATTTGGTTGAACTTTACGGAAAATTATATTAAATCATACTTATTTAGATTATTAAGATTTATGGGTATTACATTACAGAGTAACATAATATATTATCAAACAAAACAAAAGTTAAATCATTAAAATGTAATGAAACAGGAATCCATCAACAATGGGCTCTTGAATGAAGTTATTACTGGATATCATTTAATTGTATAATTTAGAGTGTATTATTTTTTGTATGAGTTTTTTTATATCTTAATATTGGTTCTAGTTCTAGATTTTCTATAAGTTACATTTTGTAGAGGCTAGTTCAAGTTTATTGATGTAGGTAATTACAATGTTAAAGTTGACCTTTACAATTGAGAACATGTGTCAAAGTATGTTGTGTTATGCTGGTTGTATACATATTGTGTTACTGAATTAAAAACAAGTTATGGAAATAAAGTCTGCAATGATGGGCGTAAAAAAATTTTGTTGATGCTAGTCACTTACATTAATTCTTAAGGAGATCAAGCTTGATTTCAAGACTATTTGATGATGTTTTTGAACTTATTTATCCTAGAAGTACACAGGATGCTTGTCACAATTGAACCTGGTATATACCTCTTACTAACTTTAGGTTATAGACCAAGTTTTTTTGCTTGAATTTATAGCCAAAGTACAAAGCATACAGGCTATCAATCTGAGTGGAAAAATTAGGTTCTGTAACTTACAGTTCAGATGGAGAAATGAGGTTAGAAAGATTTATTTTAAATCTGGCTTCAAGTAGAGGGGGAGGGTTTCAATCTGAATTAAGTGGGCTGCACAGTGAAATAAGGCCTGCAAAATTGACCATTTATGGTGCACATCTTAACTGAGACATGTAATAAATAGCCTTGCCCACAAAGGAGTCCTGGAAGGTGGTTGGCAAAAATAATTGATCAATCTAAAAAAGAAAAATTCTAGATACATTTATCAAGAACCTATATTAAGAACAGTAATCAGCTTACATATCAGTTGGCCACCAACCAGTTTGCCAACATATGAAGATGGTTTGCTAATATCGCTAATATGTCAGTTTGCTGATGTTCAAAATATATTTTTGAAAAACATCTAAAATGTATTTTGGATGTTGGCAAACTGACATTTAGGGGTTGGCAAACTGACCTTAGACATCCGGGAATCAACCTCGTATGTTGGCAAACCAGTTGGTCAAATGAATAAAGGCTGATAGTTTCGAAAGAAACTGTGTGGGGCTGCGTCGGTAGGGGTAACGAAATAATTTGGATATATCAACAAAGTTGAAATGGTAAATTGGCCACCGTAACGATTACAAAAGCTGACGTTTCGAGCGTTGGGCATTCGCTCCGACGAAGGGCTAACGCTCGAAACGTCAGCTTTTGTAATCGTTACGGTGGCCAATTTACCATTTCAACTTTGTTGATATATCCAAATTATTTCGTTACCCCTACCGACGCAGCCCCACACAGTTTCTTTCGAAACTATCAGCCTTTATTCATTTGACCAACTGGTTTGCCAACATACGAGGTTGATTCCCGGATGTCTAAGGTCAGTCTNCAAAGTTGAAATGGTAAATTGGCCACCGTAACGATTACAAAAGCTGACGTTTCGAGCGTTAGCCCTTCGTCGGAGCGAATAGAGGAATTGTGGGTTGTGTGTGCTTTTAAAGGCAGAAAATGGAGCTACGTTATTGGTGGGAACATGGCAACGAGAAAAACAAGAATAAATTAGTGGAATGAAAAGCGTTTGTTGATCCCTGTGGGATTTAGACTGCCGGTTTGAAAGATGAGCTTTTGTTCAAGATTTTTACGGCTTTCCATGCTACCTAAGTGTAAGGAAAGACCGCAGATTGCCATATGTTGCTTAGAATGATTAGGTAAATTAAAATGCCTAGCGACAGTTTCGATGTGTCCTTGTCATTCCTTTCCACGTCTCGAACAGTTGGTCAAATGACATATTGGTGAAACAACTGATATTCCTAAGCACAGTGAATGTTATGGAGACTCCAATTCCATTCCCTAACAGAAAAAAAAAAAAAAAAATCTATTGGCCCCAATTTCAAATGTAGCCTGGCTTGTTTTTCACTTCTTGTCTGTTATTATCCACTGTCACCATTCTACTGCTAACCAACAAGTTGATGACAGTTGCAGAAATGATAACAATTCATATTCCATTAAACCTTTTTCCTTTGAGTAGCTCCATGTACCGGTAATCATTAAATTTCAACCCTTTCACTCAGATCTTATTCAATTCTCCTTACTGTCTGCCAAACCATTCTTGTGATGCTAGTTTGGAGAATTTTTAATTGGATCAAATCATAATCCCCAATTTATATCCTTATCTTCTCTCATCACTTTTCTGCTTGATATGTTATTGCTATTGAACGGAAAAATTCTGTCTTGATCACTCATGGGGGGGTGAATGGTTAATAAACATCTTCACTCGAGAATTCTATGTTCCTGTAAGATTTCTGTTAGTTTTCCTGACTGGTATAATTCCGCAGTCTCTGAACCGCCACCAATACTCGTTCCTTTAATAAACACATTCGGCACTGTGCTTCTTCCCGTTAAACTTTTCAAAGCCTCCTGAAAAAGAACAGACAAATCCCAAAAATTAGAAAAATCACCTAAAAGACAATTTGAAAAATTAAAAGCATTGGTACTTATTTTTTCTATGGAGGCAAGTTCATACCAGCATGCAAAGAAAGACAAAACCTTCAGTTTAGATTGTGGAAGAAAAACAACTTACTGATGGTTAATTACCTAGCTAACAATCACAATTTGAGAATGAAAGCCAAGTTTAACAAGATCGCTACCAATCAAGCCCTTATGCAGATTTGCTGAATGAATGATTTTTGAGTTTTCACAAATGAGTTTGGTTGGAGGTGTATTTAGCAAAATTTGCATGCCCTACCAAACTGATAAGCCACACTCCTCAGCAAGATGTGACTGTTCATGTTCATAAGATTCCAACTTAGCCTTGAGCTGTGGCTCAATCATCTCAGTGCCACGGAACACAAAAGAATCTTAACATTCGGGAGGATTCATAATTGATGTCATGATGAACTGTGTGATGTGGGAAGGTGGGAGGGGGGTAGTGAAAGGAGGGATTAACCTTTAACACCCTGACACCAGTATGCATATTCTCCATACTGTTCTCTATATATTTCTTATGGTGCTGACAAGGAGAATTTGTTTAGCAATCAACAGCTCCTTTAGTTGCTGAGAGTTTCCTTGATCTTGTGGCCTCAATGTGTGATTCAGGGGTGATATTGCGAAGAGAAAGTAAATGATTGTCACTCTGGGAGGCCTAAGGTTTAATCCTTTAACTCCCAAGATCTGATTGTGAATTCTCCCCTCTAGCTGATACACATTTCCTTGTAAATTGGTTACAAGAATTTGGTGTTCAATCAAGGTACCAACTTTTTACTGATGAGCTTGTGGATTCCCATTACCTGTTTGCTGGATCGTGTATGGATATTATAGAGAGAAGTTACATGTTGATCACTTCTGGGAGCCAAAGGGTTAAGGGTTCTTCAGTCTACATGTAAGTATTTGTTATATCTACACAGGCTGGTCCAGTTCAACTTACCCTGCTGGCAGAGGCGTTTATTTGTTAACTTCCCCTAGGGTCCACGTAAAAATAAAGTCCTCTGCGCTCAGCCTGTTAAATCTTCTTCGAGTGTGCGCCTGGGAATTATCCAAGTTTGTGGATAATCTGATTTTCAAAACCGGTCAGAACCTCTTTTAAACACGTTTTTATGTGCACGCATCCTATTTAGCTATATAGGAAGACCAAATGTGAGCGCACAATCACGGTTATGGCAAATACTACCGGGAACTAATTTGTTTTTAAGCAACAAGCCACGCATGCTCGAAGAGGATTTAACAGGCCGAGCGCAGAGGACTTTATTTTTACGTGGACCGTAGGGGGAAGTTAACAAATAAACGCCTCCGTCAGCAAGGTAAGTTCAGCTCAAAGCGCTGGACTGTTGTGTGGGAGGTCGAGGGTTTGGGCCCCGGCCGGACCAACACTCAAGATCTTAAAATAATTGAGAAGAATTTGCTACCTTTCTATAACATCAAAAGAGGATTTAACAGGCCGAGCGCAGAGGACTTTATTTTTACGTGGACCGTAGGGGGAAGTTAAAAAATAAACGCCTCCGTCAGCAAGGTAAGTTCAGCTCAAAGCGCTGGACTGTTGTGTGGGAGGTCGAGGGTTCGGGCCCCGGCCGGACCAACACTCAAGGTCTTAAAATAATTGAGAAGAATATGCTGCCTTCCTATAACATCACGAAATGGTTAGATTTTCTAGTCTTCTCGAATAGGGATGAATAAATGGAAGTCCCCTAACGCGGTAGGAGACGTTAATTTCCCCCACACGAGATTACTGTGTGATGGATGTCCTCCCCTGGGGTGGGATGGGTGGGTTGGGGTTGGTTTAGGTGGGTGAACCTAGTAGGGGACTACGTGTCCTATTGTTCTCTCGCCTGTACACTGTACAAATCTATAAATACAAGGCTGGTTAAAATGGGAGCCTGTATAAACAATGACAAAGCCAGACCATGACACCAGAGCTACATTTTCTTCTCTTTGTTAACCAGTACAGAGAAGATGCTGTCCAGTACAGAGATGTTAACCAGTTCAGTACAGAGATGTTACAGAGATGTCCAGAGATGTTACAGAGATGTTACAGAGATGTTACATAGATGTTACATAGATGTTACAGAGATGTACAGAGATGTTACAGAGATGTCCAGTACAGAGATGTTAACCAGTACAGAGAAGATGCTGTCCTTATCTGAGGAGACTACAATGTCAAACCATTCAGGAATGTCGTAGCAAACGCAGTATATTCTTCCCAATCATTTTTAAGACCCTGAGTGTTGGTAACGTCTGGGTCTTCAGCAAAAAGAAAAAAACCACCAAAACTTTATCATTGCTGGAGAAATGGCTGGGGAATGTTGGCCTAGCATAGTAAGAAAGATTTCCGTAGAACCATTATGCACACAGTTTTTAACTAAAAATTACAATGGCGAAAACAGTACTTAATTATGTTCACCTAGCGCTTAGAACCGAGGCTCTGTTTAAAAATAGTACGGAGTTGCAAGGAAATCTTTCCGCATTGCAACTGAAACTGCTTTAATTTAACACTTCTACCTGAATATCTGGGCCATCTTCTCTTGTTTCAATTTCGTAAACTTGCATTTTCTGAATACCGGCTTCCGATAGAGTCTGCTTTGCCATTACACAAAATGGACAAGTTGTCTTGGAGAAAACTACCACATTGTGGCTTTTGATTGCTTTTTCCACAAATTTAAGAGCTGCCCGAGCTGCTGCCATCACTCAAAAAGCAATTATACTCTAGCTAGGACCTTTTTCCAACAGATCTTCGTTGTGCAATTTGTTTTAAGTTATGACATAATTCTGGTCGCCATATTTGAGACTTTACCCAGAAGTCGTAGCAAGCATATTTTATTACCAGGTTGTCTCGGTACAGGTACCGACCCACACCCAGCCTCCATCCCGGCATGTCACTGAACAGGCCTTTCCCTATTATGCCAGTAAAACTGGCATTTTGTGCTCCGAGAAATTCCGTTTTACGCCAAAATAAAAAAATGCTGAGATTATCCTCGTTTCTCCAAATAATGCTACCTTGGTTCCAGAAAATGCTTCGTTTTATGTCAGGCAAAAAGTCCTTAGCTCTTGTTGTTCTGTGACATGACAATGATGACGCTGGCCTGGAGGTAGTCAACAAGAGCACAACTCTGTTGCTCATTGAAGGACGCCTTCAGTATACAAAATACTCTTTTCTACCGTAGCAGACGATGGTTGGACAAGGAGAACTTGCTTCACTGCGGAAGCCCAACGAGGAAGTTGCTCCTTGTGCCCACACCACCATTTGACTTTCTTTTCTTCAGTCGGGATAACAACATCTTCAGCTGCCAAATAAGCAGGAAGCTCGGTTTTGAGATGGTCGATGATAGCGTCACTGTCCCGGAAAGGAAATGTTCCCAGAGACTCTTCTAATGCAATCCTAGCAATTGTCCCATCAGGTGGGAAAACTTTTAATTATAATGAATTGAAGAAATTGCCCCAACCCGCCCTAAGGCAACCTAACATTCTGTCCAATGAGACGTTTAACATTCTGTCCAATGAGACATTTAACATTCTGTCCATTCTGTCCAATGTAACCTTGAATAAAGGCTGATAGTTTCGAAAGAAACTGTTTGGGGCTGCGTCGGTGGGAGTAACGAAATAATTTGGATATATCAACAAAGTTGAAATGGTAAATTGGCCACCGTT